AAACCTACAAAAACCCACAACTACTTGCACTTTAATTCTAACCACTAATTCTAACTACTAACGTGTTACAGTAGCTGGAAAAGACGTGAGGGTAATGGAGCAACGCGCTTTTCTAGTTGGATAACATAACAATCAGTGTTCATTATAAACCTACAAATACCCACAACTACTTGCACTTTAATTCTAACCACTAATTCTAACTACTAACGTGTTACAGTAGCTGGAAAAGACGTGAGGGTAATGGAGCAACGCGCTTTTCTAGTTGGAGAATGTAAACATCAAACGAACCAATATCTCCAGATTTCTGCCCTAGAGTGGGCTTCAGATTGTCATTTCTGCCCTGGAGTGGGTGAACTCTGTTCACTGATTAGTCGTATTACATCAATCAATCATCTGTTTGTCTGTTATGGAATACCGTCACATAAGACTTGCTGCATAACAAGTGACATTTATGTGTATACTATAAAAATTCATGTGGGAACAGATTGTTATACATGATTTACGACTGAGAGGGTATTTTACGACCCTGGGAGGCACGATTCGCAACTATTGTGTACATGCTCTCCTACTTCTATAGCATGTGATGTCACAAATTACAGTACTCTCAAACCGGGTTTGTTTTAATACAAGTTAATACCATAAATATGAATAACACTAGATTAGAAGTCACGTGACTTTCGACATGCGCATGTGATCGAACTGACAATGGCAAGGCGATCTCACCTCACAACAAATGGTCGTTTCTCATCTAAACTAGACGTTGGGATAATTTTGTCATTTGATTTTAATAAATTTGTCAAGACAAGATAACCTAAACCTGATTTTAACTTAGATATTAGTGCAAACATTGTTCACAAACACATATATCTGACCTGTTGTATAAAGAATGCATTGGATTTTAGCCCTTTAATATAAAATATATTTCCTGGGTAATTATGTCTCACAGAAAAATATACATCTCAAAATATTGTTGCCAATGAAGAAGAGATGGCGCATCATGTCCTTTCTGATGGGCGGGGGGGGGGGGAAGAAGAAGAATGCTATTTATGTATCTGCACCTCCAAACATTCAACGTTCTTAATTTGTGTTATAAATATAATAAAACTGATTCTGGTATATTTGAGAATTTGTGGCAAAATTATATATACAACATGAAAAAAAAAAAAGAACAGAAATCATTACACCCATTTCATCAATGATGCATTACATATACTGTACCAGATCTAAAGACAATAAATTTAGCAATGTTTCTCTTTTAAATACTCCCTTTTCCTCTTCTTTACCGAGTTATGACCGAATGGTCATGTTCTCCTCCCCACACTTCACCTGCTACTAGATCTTTTTGGATCTGAACCCCTTCCTTCCAAATGGTCTCTGCAAGGGTTTATGATTAAAAGCTTGAAATGTAAGAAAAAATTTGAAAAAAATCAATACAAACCAAACCAATTATTACTTATCTATGTGCGTGCGCACATGCGCGTGTGCATCTTTTTATGCGAAAAACCACATAGAAAAGAAATGTGCACGTGCGTCCACGCATATGCGTCTTTTTAATGAGGCAAGCTAGCAAAAAACCCCATAGAAAAGAAGTGGTTCCTTATATTACAAATAAAACTCACAGACAGACAGACATGTGTGTATGTATGACCACCATAGCTTCAAGAGGAAAGAACTTAGAACCTGAAATTTTGTACCCATATTAAGTGGACCCTGAGGGTGTGCATCTGGTTATTACTTATCTTATCCACGTGCGTGCGCATATTTTTTAATGATGCAAGTTATCGAAAAACCACTTAGAAAAAAAAAGTGGTTTCTTATATAACACCTTCTAATATATAGAAAAGCCAGTGCGTTTTGGTAACAATGCATTCCAACAATGACTTTTATGTCATGTTGCTTAGTAACAAAAGTATATAGGTTATACTTTTATGCTAAAATGGGTTCAGAATACAAACACCATTAACCTAATAACCCTCAGTAAAAAGAGGAAAAGGGAGTCTTTAAAAGAGTAACATTGCTAAATATATTGACTTTAGATCTGGTACATATATATAATGCATCATTGATAAAATGGGTGTAATGATTTCTGTTACTTCTTTTTTGTCTTCATGGTGTATATATTTTAAGCATTTGTATCAATATTTCCCACAAATTCTCAAATAAATCTGAATCAATTGTATTATATTCATAACATAAATTGTCTTAATTATTTTCATCCACTTCAATTAAGAACGTTAAATATTTGGAGGTGTAGATACATAAATAGCATTATTTCCCCCACCCTCCCCAGAACAGGACATGATGCGCTACTTCTTGTCCATTGACAAGAATATTTGAAATTTATATTATTCTGTGAGATATAGTAAACACCTAGGAAAAATAACAGATTTTAATCTTGAGAATTACGTCTGGGATAAAATTCAATGCATTCTTGATATGACAGGTCAGATATGTGTGTTTTGTGAACCATGTTTGCACCAGTTTATAAGTTAAAATCAGGTTTAGATCATCCTGGCTTGACAAATTTATTAAAATAAAACAATCAAATTATCCAAACGTCTAGTTTAGATGGGAACTGCCATAAGTTGTGAGGTGAGATCGCCTTGCCCTTGTCAGTTCGACTAGATGGCTTTGAAAGTTCAAAAAATGGCAATGGTAACCGCTTGCGCATGCCGAAAATCGCGTGACTTCTAATCTAGTATTATTTATATTTATGGTGTGAAGTATTTTATTAAAACACAGTTTAGACTTTTAACCTGAGCATTAGATAGTATATAAACTGCCGTATTTATATATTTAATATTAATCCACTTCTTGTAATGATAATAATTACAATTACTGTAGTATGACCGTTCTTTTTTTTATGCATCACAGGCGTTTTTAGACGTGCCACAAGCTGGATGTTGGGTCTTGGAGAATAACACTTTCAATTCCTCTCTCAAAGAGCCTGTCTTGGTCGATTTCCGTTTGTCCGAAGACTGTGCGATCAGAGATTTCCCTAGAATACCAGAGGTAATATAATCCTACTTAGTAGCTTAGAGGTCTTTAGGAATTCTTCCGGTGAATAAAAATTTCAAGGAAGTTTTTTGTTACTTGTGTAAAACTCTAACATCTTACGATAAATTTTTCATTTACTAAAGGTTTAACAAACTGTTTTGAAACCTCTGTAATATTACATCGACAAAAGTTTTCATTAAAATGTACAAGTGATCAAAGTTTTGTGTGTGTATGTGTCATATATATATATTCTATCAGTGTAATGCTGTAAGATCCAGAACGTTGTTTTCTCGTGAACAAGCATGCTGTTGTTAGTCTAAGTTGGTTTCGAACAACGTAAGACTGACGCACAAATGTATCGAAACTAATTTCGATAATTTCAAGTCTTCTAATAGTTTGTTCCATTTATTATAGTTTTTTTTCCACTAACCTTTTAATCTGACGATAGTTTAAATTGGTCTATAATAACGTATTATAATGAATACGTAATTTGATTGTGACATAAATTGGTCTCGAACATCATATTATGGCAAATAAGATGTTTGACTGTAGCCCAAAGTGGTCTCGAACATTATATTCTAGTGAAGGTGTGGCTAACCTTTTAAAATATCTAGAGCCACACAAAGAAATTGCAAACGACAAGGAGAAACAACTTTCAAGAATAGTAGCAAGCAATATTATTCCTGCTGGTATTTTGCCTATAACTATTCAAAGGCGAGTGGTTGATATATAATGTCGATATGTGATGTTATATACTTATAACTAAATAAATATAGGTAAAATAAGTATTACCTACGTAGAAATTATAAACGTTTGAAGAGCCTCTCTGCCACCACTGAAAAGCCGGGCGTGGCTTTCGAGACACCAGTCGCCCACATCAGTTCTAATGTGTTGAAGTTAGATAAGGTTTCGAAGTTCTAAGCTGATGAGCAACCATCGATGAAAAGTTAAGTGATCGAGTTTTTTTTGCCATAAAAGGGTTTTTGCTGATGAATCTTCTGACATTTAAAGTGTTTCTTTATCTGTGATAAGTCAACAAGCGTAAATTGGTTGCTTGAAAATACTTAAAAGTTTAATTCTTTTTTTCGATAGTTTATTTCGTTTAGCATGGTAATGGTGATGCTGACCGTGGCAGCGTTCCTAACTTTGAGTGTGATGCAAAAGTTTTTCATCCTTGTGGCGTTTGTTGGAAGCTTCTGCCCTATCCCGCTTCTTGTCCAGGCACCTTTATTTGAGGTGTATGACCTCCTGTTACTACAAAACACAGGGTGAGTTTATTGACAAAACAATAAGTCATTACCTATCTGCTGTTAACAGCATCATATTTTTATGTGTTTTGTAGATAAATGACGTGTAACCAAGTACTGTTTCTTTATTTAAAGTTAAGCATAAAGCTACATAATGGGCTCTCTGTGCTCTGCCCACCACGGGTATCGAAACCCGGTTGATAGCGTTGTAAGTCCGCATACATACCGCTGTGGCACTGGGGGGCGTAACCAAGTATAAAATGTTAACTGCTTATAAATTTATACTCGATAAATGACTAAAAAAGTTATAATCCAAGCATAATCAAAACCTCATTAACATATACAAGAAAAAAAAAACTTTTCCCAGCTCGAAGACTTTTTCTCATCAAAGTAAAATAATAAGGAACAAAAATATTTTCTTTATTTATCTTTATGAATAAAAAACAAGGCACAAGAAATTAATGGTGTAATTTTTTAAGCAGCCTTTGGTTAGCAACAGTTGTTTTAGTAAAGTTAAATTCTTAATAATTGATTGATCTTAAAATATGTACCTTAAATAAGTAAAATTTAAAGTGGCTCGTCCAGTATGAGTTTCTATTACTTGCGTATGTTAATAACGTATTTGACCAAAAGTCCTTGTATTTCTTAAGAAGCATGAGATTTGTCAAAACTTAACAAAAATATGAACTCGGTAGTTGCAGTATAACTCTATATCATTTCTGTTACATTCACTGTAAGAGGCTTAGAAAGTCGCGTATAGAAAAAGTTCAAGTTTTTATCTTATTTCCTGAAACAGAGACATAGATCGTGGCTCAACCCCTTCAAAATATCTTGCCATTCTAGTGGTAGTACTCTTCCTCATTGCCCTGCTGATCCACGGCCACCAGGCCGAAGCCACCGAAAGATTGGATTTTCTGTGGAAACTGCAGGCCATGGAAGAAAAGGAAGATATGGAACATCTACAGGCTTATAATAGAAAGCTTCTTAGTAACATCCTTCCAGCCCACGTGGCTGAACATTTTCTTGCTGCTGACCACAGGAACGAGGTAAATGTAGACCCAGCCTACTTGTTATAGAGAAACTAGTGACGTTATATTTTTGATTTGATAAAAGAGAAATTTAACATAGAGCAAGTACACTTTACCAAGAAAAAAGAGCTTATCTTTTTAATTGCGCATTATACAAGAACAGTCACTTAACTAGTGCAAAATTTAAAAACATGTGTGTAAAAATTTATTGATTTATTTTATTTAATGAAC